CGCGCAGAAAGACTCGCAGAGAGAAAGAGAGAGAGAGAGAGAGAGAGAGAGAGAGAGAGAGAGAGGAGAGGGGGAACACGCCCGTTACATTTTCAATAATATCTTGCGCAACCGCGAGAAAGAGCCCGGTTGCAGAGCGCGGTGTCTCCTCTAAATGTGATTCGGCCGACTCAGTGGCCGCTAATCAGAAGTATGCGCTTATCTTCCGGCAGTTCGCCTGTCACTTATCAGTGCTCACGCGCATTGCTAGACATCTCGCTGGCGAATTTATCGGCCCATCGCAGCCGTGATAACCGGACCGATCGCTAGCCGTCTCCAGAAGGTAGTTTCTGGGCGACAGCAGGGCGCGAGGCAGGTTGCAAAAAGCGCGTGCAATGCATAAACGCGCGCGTATCTCGCAGATAGCGAAATCCAAATTTGCTCGCTCGCGCGATAAATCTGCAAGTCGGATGGACATTGGGCGGAACAACTTCGCTTCGTCGCAAGCGCTCCCGCGCGAATAACGCGAGACATTTTTCGGGGCGAGCACGACTTACTTCTCGCCGAGCGGGACCAACATAAGATCCTCGAGCGAGATGCAGATAAATCCGCGTGTCGTAATCGGAAGTCGACGTTCTGTTTTCTTGTCGGACGACTAAGGGGAAGAATTTCATCTGCATTCCGTGACGCGCAAAAACACCAGGCCGGAGGACGTGGCCGCCGGGGGTGGAAAGGACGGGATTTTTAAGCGTGCCAACCAGTCTACGCGCGCGCGCGGGCCTGGTGATGGCCCTCGTAGAGCTATCCGGCCCCGTGTCCTCACTGTCCTACAAATCCCGCAAAAGGACGAGGCGGGCTGCAAGGCAGACGACCACCGCGTCCCGCCACGATCTTATTCATTGCTAATCCGGGTAACCTTGATTTTCGGTGCCGGTTGCCTTCGGCCGGCTCCGAATATATCTGCCACACTTTTTATCGCCGCCATCTATCCACCGCCGGAGATCGACGATGTCAACGTCAAAATCCGCCAAAAATAAATTTCAACCACGAAACCTTTCCTGGCCCCCTTTCGATCGCTCGCGTTCCAAGGCGCCATCGAGGATCCGCCGCGGATCGATAAGAGGTCGATAACGCGACGGAAGTCTGCACGAACGCGAATTACAGGTAATCGTCTCCCGTAATTACCAACCAAGAACGTCCTCTTTTACCTGAAAGTAATCTAAGGATCTCTTTCTTCCGCAGGGTAATCCTGAGACTGTCATACTGTTATGGTCATACAAATAATTCACTCGTCGGGCAGCGCGCGTTACTTCAATTCGTCCTTCATTCCTGTCGAGTACTTGACAAAAGTGTGTCATCGCGCCGCCTTGTTTATCTCTCACTTTCTTCGGATACACTTCTCCTCCATGTGGTAATGGATTCGGTAATCTGGCGAACGATTACCGCACGCCGGCAATGTTTTCTTAATTATGGTTATTAATCAAAAACCATTGCGCACACATTGACATGCGTCAATTATCTCACACGTTCGAAGCCATATTTCAAGTGCTAAATATATTTTGTGCGTTATATATACAATAGACATTTCTTGAGCATTCGAAGTTTTCATTTCCGCAATCAGTCCCTATCCTCTCCTTAATTATCTTTTCATGCCGTTCAAATTCCACGCAGAACGTCACGAATTGCAAACCACAATCGCAGCGGAGAAGAGCGATCAAACGGCAGGAAGAGAGGAACGGGAGCATCCGGCCTCCTCTCATTGCTAATCGAGATAGCCTTGATTTTGGTTGACGCGGGTCCTTCGTGCGTTTCGCACTGACTCCACATATCCCTCGCGAATCGAATCGGTCTCACATACACATGTCGTCTCGCAGTCCTGCCGGCCGATGCGGTCGATTCGCGCGTTTCGCTCGCGGCGCGATCTTGAAACGCCGTGATTTCAAGGCGCTCCCGCGAGAGATCAAGATCGAGCCACGATTGCGCAGAAAACGCGTTCGTATTCTACGAATTTAACGGGTGATCCCGAGCGCGCTGAGTCAGAGCGGCGAAGGGCCGCGCGCAACAAAAATAGCGATTCCTGAATAAATCACGACGCCCATTCGGTGACCTCCATTTGATCTGCCGTTAAGAGGTTTCGTATGCGCAGATTTCCACAATGTTTGAAAATTTTGTAGCACGGAACATGCAAATCGACCACTCGACCAAGACGCCGTAAAGCCGAAGATAGAAAGATCTATTTTGAATTCAAGAATTTGGCATTGAAGCTACAAACTATTGGATTTTCAACGCGTTTGCGTAATATTCGGGGATCTCTCGGATTTTTCGATCGCTGTTCGATTTCAAAACTAGTACCCGCTAAGTTGTATCACGTGGTTACTCCGCCGGCGAGTCCTGTCCTCTTCATCTCGCTCGCCGCGTGAAAATCGCGCGAAGCGACGCGTGCTCCGAACAGGTTCCTGTGCGCTAATGAAACGGCGGCCGCGAGAGGGATCGCGTACGAAAGCGAAATGAAAAATCCGGCGAAGACGCGCCCGAACGAGCACGACGACGACGGCGAGAACAAGCTTCCGGCCGTGGCTCGCGAGCGGAGAAGAGAGCTTTCCCGTTATACGCCTCGTCTCTAGAGTTGATTTGGCGAGCTGGCGGCGGCGGTGGTGGCGGCGGCGGCGGCGGCGGCGGCGACAGCGGCGGCGGTAGCGGCGAGAGAAGCCGGTACCGCTAGCTTCCCAGAAATCGACTCTCGATAATACCACTCGATACGGATGAAGTAATCTCCTACTGTCGCGGCGAGTGAGAGGGAAAAAAAGCGCGGCACTGACCGGAGGGGGGGTGTGCGGTCGCGGCCCCCGGAGCCCGCGAGGGAACCTGGACACGGGGGAAGGGGACATTTACGCACCACCACAACTCATGCCTTATTCATTAATTCTCGAACGAATTCGAGAGGTGTACTTCTGCTTTCGTGTGCTTCCTCGTCCAAATAACGAAATTCTGTCTCTCCCCCTGAGAGCTGCAGACACGATTCATATTTCCCCGCCATTGGACGCGAGATCGGAGCGTGCGCTCGATGGAGAAGAATCGAATCTCGTCGAGTATACTCTGATCTTAATTTTGATGTCGTTCGTGCGAAATAATCGCGAAAACAGATCGTGAGTTTCTTCTCGTCTGCTATCAATATATCAAGTAGGAATTATCTTAGCTATATCTCTCGTAGACTGAATTCGCGCCCTTCTTGTTTGCTTCCATAGGACAGGAGATAAGAGGACATTAGGTTCTCAAGACGAAAATTTTAATTCTGATGTGATTCCGTCATATGTCAAACTTATCTTGTTGAAACACGGTCGTACTGTTAGTAATTTAATATAACGACAAAAGAAAGTAAATGGATGTACATGCTCGAGCTCATCGACGATTCTGAAGGGAGATTCAAGGATCGATAAAGTCTGTTTGTTTCCCGTCTAAACTATATTTACGACTGTAAACTAAATTAACATGAAACGAAAGGAAGACATTAGAATTGTACATTTCACTTCCTTCTCGACGAACGGTACGCATTCGCATAGTTGTCGCACCGTTACATAACGCCATTCAACATCCTGCTAAGACGAATTTCAGATTCAAGATCGGCCGATCGATTTTTCCCGATGAGAGCCTACAGTAGAAAAGTCTGACCGTTTCTCCAGACGTAAACAAAGTCTGGCCGCCCGAAACAACTGTTACAAAACAGTAAATCTTTCCATGAACGGCAACCGTTATGCGTGTAGTATTGCATTTATTTTCTCGCTTTGATATCGACGACGATTACAAAATAATCCCTCGAGCGAGATAGATGTCGCGAATTCTCCGTTGCCAACGACAAATAATTGGCAGCAATGTCCCGTGACTTGCAGGACAATCCTGGCGATAAACATATCATTTGTATGACCGAGCCGAATCGCATGATCGGTCAAGAAAAGCGATCCTCTCAGTCCTCTTCCTCTTCCTTCTGTTCCTCTTCTTCCTACAGTGAAAACGAAGAGTCTCGGATCGCCTCATTTTTCTCCCGATGCATTCCGATTCGCACGCATAATCCACCTTCTTGCCGCACGACTCGCTCGCCCGTATACCCATCTCGTCTGAAAGATCGTCACGCCGCAGTCATGCCAAGCAGTCTGTCGGCTCGTGAAAAACGAAGCTTCGTTCTCCGTCCACGTACCACCTCGCCGTCGTCCCGGCAGTTGTGCGAAATTACCGAATCGACCATCCGATTCCAACCCGCAGCGAGAGTACATTCGAGTACGTCGGAATAATAGCGGCGGGTATGCCGAGTCCCGACGCAGCTGCGGAGCAGTCATCGGCTCGAGTCGGCTGTGAGCACCGCCGCCAGCGTACGCACACACCACCTCCTCGCTGCCAGAAAACCCGATGGCACCTTAAGGAGAGAAGTCAAGGGCAAGAAGCGTCCCTTCGTTTGCCCGGTCTGGGTCCTACCGGCGACTTCTCTCCCCCCACCTTCTCCTCATCCACCCGCCCCTACCACCTGCGGGTTGCTCCCTGCTACACCGCCCGCGGCTCCCTTTTTCCCTTCCTCCCACCTTCCCCCTTCTCCCCCACACCGACGACGAGACCGCGATCATCCCTCCGCCGCGTCCGCTTCCCACCGGCCCTTCGTCCTCTGCCCTGCGGGCCGCGAGTCCTGCCGACCCGTGCGCGAGTGAGAGTACGTCTCTCTCCAGGTTTTCTTGAAATTCGTCTCCGTTGAGGCGACAGCAGCAACAGCAGAGGCAGAGGGGTACTCTCTCGCGACCCGTACGAGAGTGTCCACCTCCTCCTCCTCCTCCTCCTCCTCCTCTTTCTCTTCTTCCTGCACCTCCTCCTCTTCCTCCTGTTCCTCCTCCACCACCTCCTCCTCCTCCTCCTCCTTCTTCTCTTCCTCCTCCTGCTGCCCACTTCGTCTCAACACGAATCCATATGTATGGGGTTGAGGCGCACAGCCGACGCAAATGTGCTGACTACATTACGCCGACTATATAAGATAGCCGGCAACCATCCTATCCCCACAGACCGAGCCAGATCGGCGAACCGTTCACAGACGGGCCACAAGGAGCTTGCGTCCCGATCGGTCACGAGACGTCGTTTTATCGATACCCGTTCGCGCCGGAGATATACCCGACATTCGTCGCTTTTTTGAGACGAGATCCGACGTCATTTCATTAACGTTCATAGGAAAGTGAGCGAACAACTGTTTGGAGTTAGGTGACCAGCAGAGAACGGGCTCCTACCGTGGCCGAATCATCATCTCACCAAGAATACAGAATACCGTCTCACGTGTCTCCATCTAAAAGAGTATTCATTCACAGAGGGGATTTAAATCTCCAGCCGCCCCGAAATCGAAGAAACCGCTCTCACAGCGGGACCTGTCCGACGAAATTTTAAAGAGCGCCGCGGGACATCTGCCGGAACGTCATCGGAAAGAGGAGGAAAGTGAAAGAGAGAAAAGAGCGAAGAGAAGAAGAAAAAAGAGAAGAAGAAGGGTCGTTTCTTCAGTGAAGAAAGCTGTGATTGTGCCGAAGGATGATCTCTCTCAGCCTCACCACGTGCTTCCTGCTGGCCTTCACTCTAGTGGCCTTGATCTTGGTCCTGATAGACCAGAGAAGAACGAAGAAGGCGCTGAAGAATAAATTATACGACGGCGAAGAGGCCACTCTGACGGATCCACCCGGACCCAAGCCGTGGCCAATTTTGGGCTCCTTACATATTTTGGGACGCTACGATGTACCGTACAAGGTTTTCGCTGATCTCGTCAAAACTTACAACAGTCAAGTGGTCAAGCTCCAGTTGGGGTCTGTGCCTTGCGTCGTCGTCAACGGGCTGGAGAACATCAAGGAAGTTCTGATTGCCAAGGGCCAATACTTCGACTCGAGGCCGAACTTTGTCAGATATCATCTCCTCTTCTGCGGCAACAAGGAGAATTGTAAGAAGCTTTCTTATATCTTATCTTCTTCTCTTCGTCAATTCTTCTCACGATCGATCGAGAATCTCCATCGAATTATTTTTAGTTAAAATCTCATAATTTGCAAACACTCAATATTGTCTACTTGTCCAATAAATATAACTATATACAAGTTGTCTCAAGTTTTAATGGCCACAAATTGTGACAGTATTTTCTCGATGGGTGGAAATAAAAAGTAGATACAGACTCCGTAGAAGCTTTATACGAAAGTATGAATTTTATAACAAATATATGAAATATTTGGAACGGGAAAGGCAACGGATTTACTTTCATTATTAATGCAATACCGTAGAGCAAAAATAGATCGATGATATTTATCTAATCTGGTTATGCGAGTTGTGTTTACTAGCTACGATTGTGGAAAGTGATCTTATATTGATAACTATCGTTACATTGTATAACTTTATGTCGTGATCTCGTAATACTTTCTGGATTTGATTTCTCAACAATGAAAATTACGTATTGACATGAGTACGGCCAACGTCTCGCAATGAAATATTGATAGAATCGTATAATATCGTATTAAGATCATCGTATTAACAATAAATGCAAAACTGCTATATATTATTTCTGTTTTAAACTTTTTATATTTTTACCACAACTTTTAAATCAAACTCTAAATTCTAAATTTTTTTTTGTTATTTTTACCCATAGGTGTATCACGAATTCTATTATTAAGATTTCTAATTAACGTGAATGTTCCAGTTAATTTATTATCTTTGAATGCTAATAGACAGAGCTCAAGTCGCTCGCGAGAGAAAACTCGCGACATAATAACGAACGATACATAATGTTACAATCTATAATCAAAGTAGTCGACCTAGAACACCTCGTGTGTTTATCAAAACAAAGCCTTCTCCGATCGTCGTGTTGCGCTCTCATGAAACGGTAGTAATTAAAATGAAAACAACTCATTGGTAGTAAACACTTTCAGATCGCCCGTTGAAACCGACACCGATTACGTTCGCGCAACCGCTACGAATTAGGTCTACATTCGCCGCGATAAACCCGTACTCTCTCGGCGCTTTGGGTCACGGTTAGCCGTTCGAGTGCGCCTTGCCGATCATGCACAGCCGCGTGAGCGAAAGAAATTCCGGGTGTGATTATGTTTTATCATATCTCGATCGTGTGGATCCGCGCGTCGGCCGAAACCCCGCGGCTCAGGGGCTTAGCGCCTCGTCTTCAGGGCTTCTGAAAACTCACTTCTCATGCTAACGATCTTGTTGCGTGTCGCGCGGGCAACACGTGAGCGACGTACGCACGGATGCACGCACGCATGCACGCACATGAACGCACGCGTACGAAAAACGCGCGCGCATACACCTTGCGCGCAACGCACGCGATTTACTCGCCGCTCCTTCCTCGTGCGCTTTCGCCTCCTCCGTCCGGCGCGAGCGTCCGAAACTCGTGCTAAGGTCAACACAGAAGCGGTACCAAGTGCAGGCGGAAAGGTCACGGTACCACTTTCACGCGTTCCTGGCTCACCCGGCAGCCGGCAAACAGGATCAAGGCTGATCCACCAGAATTGCTGCCGCCGCGACCGCCGCCGCCGCCGCCGCCGTCGTGTTTCACGATCCAAGACGATCGCTTTAACCCTTTCCATCGCGCACTCGTGACCATTACGGTGAAATATTTTATTTTCGCGCACACACACGTCACGGCGCAGCGGCACTTACGATCGCTTCTAGAACGTTTCTGCACTTGTTACTGCAAAGTAAATACCATTCGTTACACAATCCCATGATTCTTTACGTCATACGACATGATTAATTGAAGGTGATCAATAAAATGAAGGTGATTGTACCATTTGCGCAGTATCTCTTTCTCTCTTTCTTTCTTTGTCTCAAGGATACAAATTTTCTCTAGTAATGTGCCACCAAATTAGTTTTCATTCGTTTTCAACAATAAGATCTTCTACGAAAATCTCACTGTTGAAAATAAATTGTGAAATTAATTATAAAATTCAATACAGCATCGTGAAATTTAATATAGTAATTTAAGTGGTATCATATTTATCTCTGAGAACATTGTTGTATCTCGCGGATAAATGATTAGAGAAGCAGTCTCATCTCAAGAGAGATAATTAACCCTTTCGTTTCGAACCGCTCACGTTGGCCGGGTCGTCACGGCGCCGCGGGAAGGCCGCTCTTCAGGTTCTCGAACGCCCTGTGCAGGCCGCGAGAAACCGGGTCACTTCCTGTTGCCGTCGCCTCTCGCGTGTGGTCGCCGCTTCGATTTCATATCGACCGCTCGGCGATCGCTTTTCTGCCGAATTCGCTGGACAACGATCGATGGCGTATCGTCCGCATTGTATTTCCGCGTGCGTGGCGCGTGTAAAGCTGAGAAAAGAAGGCCGAGAGATGTGCGCGAACATAGAGTGCGAAAACAGAAAGGGTGCGTGCGTCGACGAATTTTTCTCTCTTGCGAACCGACGACGTCTCGAAGCACGTCGCGTGCGGTAGAATGTTAACAAGGTCAAGTTTAACGCTGTCGCCGTGCCGATCGTCCTTTTCTCGATTCGGTAATTTGAGCCGCGATACATTCGCGGAGTCGATATCAAGACGTCCCGACGTCAGCTGCTTTCGTTGTGAATCATTATAAATTGCGTCGCGACGAAGAACAAAATTAGCCAATAATATTAAAGACAATTTAAATAACTTTAAAGACGATGTTTGAACTTAATTAACACAATTAGTTTAAAGTTCAAAGTAATTCAGATTGTCGTCGATAATTACTTTACTAATTTATAGCTATCAGTTGCAATTCCACACATGCTACGAAGATAGGTTCTCCCGAGGATAGGTCTTTTGTGGATAAACTAATTTAAAAAATATACTCATATATTTTCGTTCACACGCACCAGAATAACAGAATAGCGATTTAATCAACATATTTCTTTATCTTCATTTCTACAGCTTTGGCATTCTGCAATTGGTCGGATGTACAGAAGACACGAAGAGAAATGCTACGAGCACACACTTTCCCGCGCGCCTTCACCACGCGGTACAACCAGCTGAACGGCATCATCGGCGGCGAAGTGGATACCTTGGTTAATCACCTGGCCAGCACCTCGGGCAACGCGTTGCACGCCAAGCCGTTGATCCTGCACATGTGCGCGAACGTCTTCGTCAAGTACTTCTGCTCGCGGCGCTTCGGCCTGGAATACGCCCCCTTCCGCGAGATGATCGAGAACTTCGACAAAGTGTTCTACGAGGTGAACCAGGGCTATGCTGCCGACTTCATGCCGTTCCTCATGCCGTTGCACTCGAGAAACATGTCAAGAATGGCCAATTGGAGTCACGAGATTAGGAAATTCGTGGAGACGGACATCATCAGTAGCCGCCTGAACGACTGGAAGTCGGTGATACCTGAGGAGGATTACGTGGACTGCCTGATCAATCACGTGAAGACCGAAGCCGAGCCGAAAATGAACTGGGATGTGGCGATGTTCGCTTTGGAGGACATCATCGGCGGTCATTCAGCAGTTGGTAACTTGCTCGTCAAGATTTTGGGTTACTTGGTCACTCGACCGCAAGTGCAGAAAATGGCACAGGAGGAAATCGATCGGGTCGAAACTTCGGGAAGGTTCGTCGGCCTGGAGAACAGGGGAAACATGCCGTACACGGAAGCCATTATTCTCGAGGCGATCAGGCTGATCGCGAGCCCGATCGTGCCGCACGTCGCCAATCAGGACAGTTCCATAGCTGGTGAGTGGATCTCTCTCGTTTTCTCTCTCTTTCTTTCTCTGCAATGTGCATCGGAATTTCTCGTTTCGCGAGTGACATGTAGTTTTCGTCATGTCAATCGATTCGGTTTTTGGAGTTTTGCAAAGTGAAAAATGCAATCTGCAGATCTTGGCTTTATATCCACGAGTCGATAAAATTTGTTAATTTTAAACAATATTATAAGAGCACCTCGCTGATTTCACATGAACTGATCTTTCATTCCAGGCTACAAAATTGAAAAAGACACGTTTATCTTCTTGAACAATTATGACTTGAACATGTCGGATGAGCTGTGGACCTCCCCCAAAGAGTTCATGCCGCAGAGATTCGTGCAGAACGGCAGACTCCAGAAGCCAGAGCATTTCTTGCCGTTCGGCGGCGGTCGGAGATCTTGCATGGGCTATAAGATGGTTCAATACATCAGCTTCTCAACGATAGCCACCCTACTGAAGAACTTCAACATATTGCCGGTGGAGAAAGAAAAATATAAGGTGCCCATCGGCAATCTCGCGCTACCTGAGAGCACCTTCGACTTTCGCTTCGAGAGTCGGTAGGATAGAGGAATCGTGAATCCGGAGGAAGGTGGATCCGGTCGGATCATCGATGTCGTAGACACGACTTTGTCCCATTGACGAAGGCTCCGCCACACTCGACGTCCGATTCGACCGCTTTGGAGACTTCATCAACAACGAAGGACATCAGCGATCGTAGAGACGAACTGAACTGGGTCTTGGAACCCGAGGATATGCAGCTCGATCACATCGATCGATTAAATCGGCATCCGATGTTAATCGAACGACGAACAATAGTCTTGCGCGTCGCACAGAGCCTCCGTTTCGCCGACGCGACGCGCAGCGGACAACTAGCAGCTAAGAAGAGGCTCTTCGAACCCAAGGAAGCTTTACTGACATTAGAAAGAACTGTATACAGGTGGCAAGTATCCAATCTCCGGCGCCAACAGAGCTTTACTGACATTACTAGATCGTTAAGCTAGCTAATTCGATCGTTCTTCGGCGTGAGCCCTAGGTACGGAAACGTATGCGCGCAGACGAGTCTCATACGTCCCGAGTTGCTTGAAACACGAATCTCGAACTCGAAGCTCCACGTGTCACACACCTTTCGTTAACCGCATCTATTTTAGTCTGAATTTACATATACGTCGTATGATTCAATTTAACGTAACAATTGTTTTAATTGCTTTTATCGTTTGTTTAGTGTTTTGGGGTATCCTTAGTGTAGTGTTGCAGATTTTAATTTTCTTCGAATTTATCGAGGTCATTTCAACGTTTCATACGTGTGATCGATGAAGAATCACAGCAATGAGTGATCGTGTGGCGACCATTCACGGAATGCTCGCTGAATCTGCAGAGATCGGTGATCATTGAGCCTCGACTGCGAGCGCGTGGGTTGTTTTAGAATAATCGTCACGCGCCTCGTCTGGCGGTCACTATCGTCTGGCGACTGCTCGTCTGTAAAACGAGATCTCCCGCGTTGATGCACTAACAATAGCGATACTGCGATGGTAATACCAAGGGTCAAATCCGAGCGATCCGCGTGTACAACTTATAGAATCGATACTTGAGGATTAATCGAGATAGACGAAGACTGACAGTCAGGACGGCAGTGGGACCACGGCTTCTTCGAGTTTAAACGTGTGTCGTCGCAGCTAAAGTTCGTTTCGTCGGAATACGCGTACAAATTAATCGCCAAGCACAGCGCGCCTATCGCACACTTCAAGATCTTCTCGCGGATCCCGCACATGAAACTTCGAAGCGAGACCATATGCGGGAACACTTTTTGACTCGGAGAGATTTAAGATTTTATCGTTATAATTCTATGGTAGAGACGCGAATGATTCGCGTGTAAAGCGTTGATAGTTCTCGTGTTCTCACGAACGACATCGCGTTCTTGTTTCTTCTCCTTTTTTGTTTTTCACACAGAGCGTTTGTTAGTGTTATTAAATTATCGCGCACGTACCTCGTCATTTTCGTCATATATCGTCTCTGAGCGTCTCATAACGCGAGGTGGTGCGATGCAATTCTGGGAGCAAGGGAGGAGAAACGGCTATTAACAAAGGGCAAAGAGAAACCTTACTCGAATGATACTCGAGAGGAGACTCGAGAGAAAGTAACATAGAGGAGACATCGTTTTTGAAATCATTTCTCAACGATTTCGAATGAAAAGTTGATCCTCGAAGATAAATATTTCTCTCGACGTACCACCTCGCACGTAATAATATTTATTTCAATTATCCAGCGTCTCTCTCTATCTCTTTCTCTGTCTCTCTCTTTCTCTGTTTACATCGCGTTAATATAAAAATTATTATTATTATTATATTACAATTACTCTATATTATTTGTAACTCTAATCGCGTTTATTATTATCATTATTATTATCGCTTATATTATTATTACCGTCATTATCGTCAGCACAGTTATGATAATCGCCCATGTTCTATGTCGCCTCGTTTCTCCACCGAATTCCGCCCGCTCATATCTCCTCCTTCTCCCCCCTTCACCAGCCGCGCTTTCACACTCGTAAACTGTACATTGTGTTTGTTATTTAATTATCGTGATTGTTACGTCATTTGTTAATTTATTATTTAAGATTTTAATGTTAAAATAAGAGAATAAAATATGAAATGCGCATATATATGCTTTTATTATTGTCGTTATAAGTCTACCTTCTCGGTACACGTCGTAAATAGATCATAAATTATAGATTATAAATTAATTAATTCTTTATTCGTATCTTACAGTTTATCGCTCGAAAACATTCCTGGTCACTGTCGCTCTCGATTTCGCAATGCAAAAAAATACATCATACAAAAAGAAATGATTGTGTTCGTAACGATAGGCTATTAGAGGATGACCATCCACAACTCCCGGGTATTTATTATCGCAAGTATTAGAGCACTCTCTAACCTTGTATAGATAATATTACGTATCAGTGACAGTCGCTCATATAAACGCGTATCTTTGTTATTATCGATTAGTTCTTAATCGTGATCGCCATTCAGCGATTTTTCTCGAAGAATAGTCAAGTTTGATCCGCGTAAATCCGCGTGAATTCGCGAAAGGCGCGTTGCAAGCACAAACAAGATATTTACTTGTTTAATTAAGCATCCTAACAACCTTTGGTATTCAGATAAGGACTTCCGTTTGAGTGCGATTCTCCGAACGTTCAACGCGGCGTTTCTCACTCCGTGATGACAATATAATTTCATTAATGACATAATTTTATTAATTATATTCGCGTTATCGAATATGTCTCGCGCGTTATCATTCGAAGTAGGTTGGCGTATAAAATTCGATTCATCTAGATTTTAAGCGATACTATCGTAAGATTTTAATCTGCCTTCCTGTATGACGGGAGAGTATTTTCCGCAATATGATGTTATCGAAAAATTGGAGCTTTAAATCAGACATCTATCTGCACTTACGCTATTGACCGGCAAGTGCGTTAAATCACGAAATATCAATATATAATAGTAACAATAATAATAATAATAATACATGTATGCCGCTCGAAATGTCATTTCTGAGATTACGAATCGCTCTCTCACACACACACACACTCTTTCTCTCTTGTGTTTGTCAGACTAGAGAATATCTAATCTTATCATAATTCACATACATATTTTACATATCAAATTAAGTATCAATAAATGGCACCATTTGCGTTATCGCTTCTCACAAATGAAAGTAGGTAGGTAGAGGCGTACACCTTTAGATAGCGGAATTTCCATTTAAGTGACAACCTTGTTCTTACAATTACATCATGTAACTAGTTCTCTTTGCTAACGATATGCAAACATTTCCGCATTTCAACTTCTTTTTCTACGCCTTAAAATAATGTACATGTAAAAAAAAAAAGATTTGACTTTTGAAACCGCACATAGAAGTATCACAGCGGCGTCTTATTCGTGTTATTTCTTCCATTGGTCGTGCAATATTTACGCAGTCGCGCGCGCCGAGCTCTTCTTCCGAATCCTCAACGTTATTATTTTTATTGCTGCTCCTTGTAATTATATGCAATAAATATTTTTAGTTTACTAACAGGCCGACAGAGGTGTCCTTTGGGCCTACCACCGTCTCCGTCGGCTGCAACTCGAAGGTATTCTTCTTCTTCGAGAACATGTCCTCGATTTCGTGCAGGGTCTTTCCCTTTGTCTCAGGCAAGTACATTGTGACGAACACAACGCCGATGAAGGATATCACTGCGAAGAAGAGAAACACACCATCCTTGCCCATCGACTCCAACATATTCGGGTACGTCTTAACGGTAACCGAACTGAAGACGTAGGCGATAGAAGTCGTCAGGCCGGACAATATGTCCTTGACCTTGGCCGGGAACACTTCGCCCACCATGGCGAAGGGGATCACCAGGTACCCCAATGTACTCGTGAATATGTACATGAGCACACACACCGTCGGGATCACTCCACTGTCCGCGATGACGTATCCTTTGTTTTCAAGAAAGAGGTAGAGCGACAATCCGCCCATGAAGATCCCCATACCAATGCCAGAGAAGATCGACGGGATCCGCCGGCCGTATTTCCTGGATACACTGGCCACCAGGAGACTGCCGATGAAACGAGTTATGCCGATCAGGACGGCGCCGAGGTAAGGATCCAGCTGGACCCCTGAGCTCGCGATGATGTCGACGGCGTAATATATGACAACGAAAATCCCGGAGAATTGCTGGAAAAAGAAGTAGCTGAGCATGATGGCAAACGGCATCATGGCGTTCCTCTTCATTAGATGTTTGAACAGGTTCTGCTTCTTCTTCTGCGGTCGTGGTTTCAACTCGTAAAGGACCTCGGGTGGCGGCGCGTCGTCCTTCGGCACGCCGCGGAACTTCTTGAGGATCTCCAACGCCTCATTCGTACGATTCTGGTCCCGCAGCCACAATGGAGACTCAGGTGTCACCAGCAAAGTGAGGGCGATCGACAGCAGTGGGAACAGTGTGCACATTAAAGACACCATTCGCCAGTTGTCCTTTGACAGAAAGATAAAGAGACCGGATGAATTATTCACTGTCGTTTGTACTTTGTGTCGGGCGTGTGCTGGTGAAACGCAAGAATTTTGCGTTCAACGTAATTTATGGCGACCACTTTTAGCAGGCTCGAGCAAGTCGATCGATGTCTCGAGCAAAGCGCGACGGTGACAAAATAGCCGACATAACTTTCAGTCAGGTGAGACACTTCGAGTCACTTGTTGAATGAAATGTTGCAACTCGAATAAATTTAGCTCTGCCGGCGATATCTTTACTACCGCTAACAGAACGTATCTGGACCGTGTCGCGCGAATACTCACCTTGAAAACATACCCGAAGATGTAAACGATGAGGACACCTAAGGCGATCGAGATACTGGTCCATGTGACCATCGTGCTCCGCAACTTCGGACCCGCTATTTCCGCCACGTACACCGTTGCCGGCACCGAGGCCATACCGGTGGCCACTCCGGAGATCACTCTGCCTACCAAGATTTGCTCGTAATTAATTGACAGGTAGATCGTGATCCAACCCGCCATCGAGAGCAGCGCCGTCACGAGCAAGCTGACTCTTCTCCCTCGTCTCATCGTGACGCTTGTGAGTAAGCAGCCGACGGGCGTACCCAGCGCCGCTGCGGTCGCTACGTAGTAGGTGAGAAATAATTTTTACTAATATTAATCTTGAGTCAACCAAAAAGTTTGATTAAGAAGTTTGAGAAATTTAATTTTAGTGTATTCAACATAAAAAAAATAATTTACCAAGCAAACAATCGCCACTGTGTCGCTTATTTCCTTTATCTTGTACACGAGTTTTTATTGGTTTTCAGTCATAGTTCTTTTGTTAATAATGACACAGGATATTCCATAAAAAATTTTATCAAAATATTTGCCTTTGTTATCCATTGCTATCTATCACTTTCAGGTAATTGAGTCAGATTTCAATGTTTGCGCAGTGACTCTCTTAAGGTAACAACATCACCGATAAGCTATTGCAAACTTCTAATACTTGGACATTATCAATACTTGTCTGTATTACGTGCATGTGACGCTATCAATTGAAAATCGCACTTAACTTTTTGATTCACGCAATAATTTAAGATAAATTCTTGCAAGCAATAATCGAGCAATGTGGATTCCGAGCAGAAGAAACGACTAGGATCGGGGGAGTAATTTTTGTGACACTAACCAATCCAGTTCGCTTGATCAACGTCGAGTTGCATGTCACCGGTTGGCGAGGTTAGCGGGCCTAGTGTCACGGCGCTGAAACCGAAACCCATCGCTGGTCCTATTATCGAAACATTGGCGCATAAACCCATCAGCACCTGCAAGATGCGCGATTCAAGAAAATGATCAGCGATAATATCGAGAAAAGTGTCGCATTGAGGAGCGAAAAATTTGTATTAAAAATTCAGCAGATGTTTCAGCGAAAGACTTCGTGCGTCACTTATTTGCTCTTGCGAGGTGTGACACGCGAGGGATAGGATCAATAATTAAAAGTCGTCGGTTTTGCCGTCAAGAGCGACGGCAAACAGTTACGGAGCGGAGCGTCACAGATGTTTCGCCACCGGAGGCTAAGGTTAACGAAAAGTACATCGAGTTTTTGCCTAAACAACTCTGTTATCGCGCAGTTCCCCTGCAGCGGCTATTATGCATGCTAGTAATATTAGAACCGGTTTAACGAACGAACGACTGCGCGGACGGCAGATAGGATGGCCGGCAATTAAATAATGTCTTGAAGACTCGCCCATGAAGTCGCGGCGTTTAGCTGATTGATCGTGCGAGCCACACGCAACAATAATAATTCACGACGCTGCGTATCTAGTTTTTCGGAGATATATCGACGGTGCGCGCACCCCGAATTAATGGCGCGAATGGATAGACTGTATCTTATCGTCACTTTGGATCTTCGGATTTTGTGTTCTTTTTATGCGGAGCGATAACTCCCGCGAGGAATTTATCGTTGAGCGACCCGTCGCGCGAATAATCACAATGACACGTATATTTATCGTATCTTCTGTACTGGCGCGCATTAACTCTAATTACGGTCTTGTCTCAACATTTGTATGTCGGAGAAATTCCACGGCAGAGATAATGTAAACCTGCGTATTTCAAGAATAGCGTTGTTTCGCGTAAAGCGAAGAATGGCAATTAACGCTGACTAGCTGACTAGCGCTATTGAAACGTGGATGCAAATCAACGCCACGATAGATTAGAATCGGAACGGGTGTGGTAATACTTGACTTATTTTTCCTTCTTTTTTGCCAACGAAGGCGAGAATTTTGTATTTTCATAGGGCGTGGCACTCGCGTACCCTCATCTTCTAATCTTCGATCGCTGCAAGGTCAACGCGACGACATTTTTACGGACTTATCCCTCTCGATTAATGATCAATCATAAAAGTGTTATCTGACGCGCATATGTGTTTCTGCAACGATCTACATATTTTATTATTAATAGTTAAGTTTGCTATGAGATTGCGACTACTATAACTCTTGGTTTTATTTTGTAATTAAAGTCATATTTCATCTTGTTTTCGCCCGTTTTTTAACTTCACGTACATAAGATGCATTCGAGATGAGTGCAAAGAGGAAACGGTGAGTGAGAAACGGGCTGTGTCACCGCCGTAATGGCATCCATATCTCAAAGTTCTACATATTGCGATATATCTTGTGAAATTTCATATACAACAGTCGTATGATAATTACTGCATAATTAATATGTAATCTGTATACACGATCTCTTAAGCAGCGCATAACGTTTATATTTTCTATTGTGCACATCTTTTTTCCTGTGCGCAACCGGAGAAAAAACGACAATTAATGTGAAGCAAAAAAATCATGTTAAATAATTAATATCTGTGAAGCGTTTGCTTTCGATGTAAACCGACGGGGCAAAGGTTCCGGTAATGACGTCCCGTGATAAAATGTCCTCGCTATTCCTACACAGGTGATCTCTATCCGCTTTGAATAAGTACCAAATGATGTCGTCATTCATGAGAATGATGAGAAGATCTTTTAAGATCCGAGAATGATGAGAAGATCTTTTAAGATCCGATTGGACTTTTGTTAAGGAATATATTTCACGCCACACGCTGCCGTTTATGTTTGTATAAAAAGGTAAAGAATTTTCAACATACTTGATAAATTACTCCTTTCCGTTCTCGCCTCTTTCTTTCGTTGGCATCGGGTTCTTCCTGCAAAACAAAGAAAATTAAAAGAGATTTTACTTTTTTTATTTTATTTGCTTATACTTTTTACATATACACACTTTTACGTAACATTTATAAAAACTTATTATGTAACTTATTACGTATCATTTATAAAAACTATCAAACATTTAAGATAGGACTTGAATTAAACCATGTCAGATTTGTTGTGTTTTGCTACTTTACTATTTCATAATAATCGAGAGGAATGAATCACATACGGAAGGATGAAAATAATAGATTGTGTAGGATTTTCAATACGATGTCAAATACGAAATTCAATATTTTCTTGGCGTGACAGAACGAGTATACTTAATCGCAAAGCGTATCAGAGTTTCTCGTGATCATGACCTCTATATCTTCCGATAGTGCCCCTCTCAGCACGGCCTCTTGCATATTTACGATATCAAGAAAATAAGTAAACTTCCGAATCCTTATCATTACACTCGGTGAAACTGTCAACGACCTCCCAAAATTAATTTCGAAAATTCATCTCATGAGAGAGAATGATAATTGGAGCATACAATTACCGTACTCAAGCATCCGCACAATAACAGGGGTGTAAAATTTCGCAATTAATCCATGAATACAAACGAGCAACTCGATAAAAAAAATTCCGAGAACCATTCGTTTCATCACTCTCGGGAAATATTGGGAAATCTGGAGAGCATCCTTTTTATCGAAGATACAAGTACATACCTTGACTTCCACACATGTCGATGTATTAATACTGATGTTCGGGTTATTTACCGCGTCCACACTGTTGTTCTTCATGATGACTTCTTTGTGTTCCCGTGCTTACGAATCCGACTATTAATCACGTCGATCGAATAATACGTGTGATATTAATTCGCAATAAACGTCGCACTTTTATCATGTAATTTACTTGAGCGTAAAACAGACAGTTTCGAAGAGGTATCGATAATTTTAATCTCTCGCGAGTATCGCTCTGTTTCTGTCTTATTTCAATTCGAACTTCCACTCGCTAATATCGTTAATAATTATTAATATTCTCTGTCATATCTAGCCTTCGATTCTTTGTATTATCGCTTACAAACGGTTTATATAATCGACGATGAATTCGCTGTCGCGTCACGGATACCTTAAGTCACATTCATTAACCGCGCGCTACTCCGGCTGTTTAAATGACACAAAAGCGTCTAGTTGCACAGAGTGTAATTAACTGACTACTTCGTGCTACTACTAACGCAGCCTTTCATAAGACTTGCCTCTCTTTCTGCTATTTTTCGTTTTCTTTTTTAAGACACAATATCGCCACGCATATCACAATAAATAAATGCCGTCATTTGCTCGATTCTCTGAACCGACTGTTCGAACAATTCTCTCGATGATTCCACACTCACGCGAGGTCTCGTATTTTTTTCAAATATCAGCTGTGAACGTTTGTAATCTCTGCGTCTGAGCGATTTCTCCTCTCCTCCTTCTCTCTCTCTCCCTCTCTGCGATTCGAACGAAGCACAAACATCCAGATGTACGGTAGGATCGGAAAATTCCGAGCGTTGCAACTGTCGTTTCCTGATTGTTTCTTTTTCTTTCTCGTCAAACACCTCCAAGTCTCGGAAGTGCCTGTTTAAATACCGGCTGTGCGATTCGAGGGATCTCGCGGTGGATACAAGGCGTCTCGTGAGTATGATCGAGCCTCCGCCACACGATCAAATATCCTCATCGAACGAGCGCGCGAGAATATTTTTCGCGCGGGACGCTCGCAAGCTTCTCAGTTCGCGGCGCGGGATGTGCTTGGACGATGTGGTCACGATTGCGAGCTATCCGGGGACCAGTTATTGACTGACTGTGGCCGACGCAAGGATTTTATCTACTGCACCCGGTTATGTTCTCCACTCCGGGGACCATTCGCGTCGCGCGATGATCCGTCGTATCGACGCAAGGTGATGTTCGCGAATATCGAATACACATTCACCGTTTCTATCCTATATCGAGACTGATAAAGTAGGTGATTACGTAAAAAGGCAATCGAGAGACGGCCACCTGGCGGATTGCGATTCGGCATAATATATTTAATCGGATAAAAAGTTATTATGACGCCAATGGCTACACGAGGAAAAGAATACAATTTATTATTGTGTTTCGGAAGCTGCTTTCTCTAGAGAAAGGCAAGGGGACATGGAGGACGTATAATTCAGTTACAACAAGTAGAATAAGAGATGTATTATCATAATGATAAAGACGATATGAAATTACTGTAAAAATATAAGCAACAGTGTAATGAGTTTACAATTCGGAAAATAAGAGATATACTCCACGAGGTGCAAAGTCCTCTCTTGTCGTTTCAGGATAATTAGTCGTGTTAATTATAGTGACGCTTCTTGTACATGATTTATCACTATCAAATAAAATTCGTATTACATTATGGGATCATATTGCATCACATACGTGGGTTAGTTAATCCGAAACAACTGCTTGTCTCGCGCCTCATTAGCCCGGTTAGAATGGACGGTTAATTAGGGATCATTGGAATACTATGGCGCGAGAGTGTATATTGATTCAATCAATAAAGATATTTTTCATGATTAATAATTTGACATATTAAGTTTCTGTCGACCCTCGAGTTTTTCAACGTCAATTAATCGCTGCGCTGTACAAATTGTAATTAGCACTCGCAAGTTTTATAAAAACGTTTTATGAAACGGTTGAATGATTAAAATAAAGTCATGAAAGAAAAAATTTCGCTCTAAAATCAACTGAGTCCTATATATAAATAATATACTGTAATTAATATCTTCTGATTTGAACGATTTAAACAAGATTTATGCGATATGTATTTAATGTTAATTAAAAGAATTAATGAAATTATATATACAAGAGCAAAAGTAAATTTTCTATATATTTGGGAAAACTTATTTTTATTCTGAGACACACATATATACAATAATACGAGCTGATTAGACGGTGGTACACTTTTTTAAAACGCAAAAATGACAACAATCATTAGTGAATTTTATCAAAGCTAAAGTGGATATGGCGTATCTTTCAGTATCTCTTATAATAGATGATATTGCACGAAATCATAAGCAAATAATGTCAACGATAACAATACAGAGCCTAATGTAATTACGAACATAATAATGCGTGCACGAATTTCGCGGTTTACGCGAATGGTATTAATTGTCCAATATTTTTATTAGCATGTTAAATAGAGCATATTTAATAAAGCTGTTGAAAGCTGTTTCCTTTTGTGCATTTTCGAGCTTATTTGGAGTATTGCACGCAGCCTTGAGACTGAATTATCGTCGTGCGTGCCGTCATTTCATTAATTTTTATTGACGCCTCAATACAGCAGGCGCTTAGCCACGTATTTAAACGTACCATGCTAAAAGGAATGATTGAAAGCATTTGGAAGACACATAATATTGTTGAACAGAGAGAGTAAACTTTGAAAAAACAATTTATTATACTTAGATAGCACAGAGAATTCCAAAAGAATTCGTATGTCATTAATTCTGAGTTCATTTTCAGATGCAAAAAGAATATTTCAAAGTTTAATTCAGTGAAAAGAATTCTTTTTGCATCTAAAAATGAACTCAGAATTGGTGATATATGACTAAGTTCTTTTTGAATTCTCTGTGCTATCTAGAATATTGTACTATATTACACGAAAAAAAAAACATTTGGTTGAATTAACCAAGTTTGTGCTGACAACTTGTTCACTTGAACAAAACTCTGGTAATCTTAACCTCTGAAATTTCTGGTACGTTCATATTTCATCAGCGATTTGATGAATTCAATCAAATTGTTTTCTTTCTATTTATATTATATTATAATTATCATATATTACATTACAATAATCTCTCTCATATTATATCACGTATTTATATTGTAACCATTATATTTGAGAAAAAATATTTTTCTTATCTCTATATATATATTCTGCTTCCATTTAAATTACAAGATATTTAATTACTTCATTTCTCCTAAAATGTGCTGAGTTTCCACGTTTTAAGGTAACCCACAATAAAAACAATCGCCTTAACTTTCTCATGATCATAAAAGTTAGAGAATTATTTTAATACTGTCAATTATAATAACGATTGTGTAACTAGGACACACCGCGATAAGCAGATGATCGAGTCAGTACTTAATCCGGCGCTGACGGATATCGGCATCGGATGTCGCGTAATGTCATATGCGTGCGAATTGGAAGCGGTTAGAGGCGACTTAGCCGACGCGTGGTTCATACGCGTGCGTATGATACCGTGTTATCGCCTGCAAACGGTCGCTTGCGTAAGGAGATTAAATCGTCATAACTATATCGCGAGCGCAAGCACGAGTGCTACAAGTCACTCGCAATGCGAGAGCCTTACGAGTAACATAATTTATCTCACACGACAACAGTAGCACGCGTCACTTTGGTGCAGAGATCCTGAGGAGCGATGCAACATCCAACCTCACGGCACATTTTGCGCAAGACGACGCAACATTCAACCTGCAATGAGAGCTGATTCGGCAAAAAACAGCGATAATCGTTTCCACGCTGTCGACGTTATCGCGAATATCACGTGCATATTGACCGACAGACTTTATTATCGGGCAACAATTGCAATTAATTACCTGCAACAAATAAGAGATATATCAGTCGTGATTGTTAGATCACAAGTTGAAATACCTATCGCATATGTTTCGATAAATATTCAAGATTTGATTGCACGATATTGCGTTTTTATCGTCGCCTTGCGTAGACAGCACATCGGGGGAACTTGGTTGATTATTGTTGTTTAACTTGGATCCCGATACTGTTGCTTTAACTTCAGTGATAAGAAAATCCAGATATGCAGGATAAAATGTTTCGACGAGAGAAATAGCTTGCTCACGGGTATCTGAATTTACACCTCATCATAAAGTTAAAGCAGCGATATTGCCGAAGTTAAACGGCAATGACCGACGAATTTCCTCATGAGCGGTAGACCGACGCGTGCAGTAACGATAAATTTGTATCGTGAAATTAGACCTCTTACGAATGCACTCGGTAGGAAGGTGCATCGTGTTACAAACAAGGAAGCAGAAACGAGGAGGAAGCACTGACCTATCCTGGGCGAGGCCGCAACGATCTCCGAAACCATTTAGCGAGTACGCGTCGACATGTGTCGACATCCGCACGACGAAAACGAGACCACAATTCGCTCGTTGACACTAACGAGTAACTGGAAAACGATATTGCTCCGTGCAAAAATTTGCAATATCTTCCTGGAAGATCTATTAACGACATATCGTTCTTTTATAGTTCACAAGAACCATTAGAAACACACCTTATTCTATCGATAAATGCGACAACTCTGTCATGCCGATAGCAAATATTTGTCATCGAGAGAAAAAAATTATTTATGCGTTATGATAGATAATTAAAGTTAAGTTAAATAGATTAGTATTAGAAGTTAGTATAAGTTAAATAAATCAGTATGACTTCAATATTCAATCTTCAATATCATCAGTTATTTTGACTGTGTATTTGGAAAATGTCCTTTTTAAATAACTAGAATGGCACACAGACGCACGTCATTTTCGCTACTAATTCCATAAAATAATGTTTGAAACATTTCTTAATATATCAGAATTATTTAGAGAAAACAATTTTGGAGACGTTTGACTCGCTGTTGAGTAATACTACTTGATAAAGTGAAAATGCGTCCGACTTATCGATTAATCGTAGCACAACCTCAGTCCTCGTTCAGGAAAGTGGCGGCTCGTAGCGGAGACTTCGAAACTAATTTGTGACGCAGGAATAACGGGTCTAATAATCTCATAGGCCGGTATTCATAATCGGATCTTATATTTAAAACCGTCTTAAATTCATCTTCAGATGATGTACGGATCATTTCATTAGCTATGGGACATCTGAAAAATAAAACTTAAGGGGATCTTAAATATTAAATCCGACTATAAGTACAATAATACTACAACCGTTCACTAAGTGTTCAGTGAGTTCTTACATTTAACTGGTGTATATTTTTAGATCTAGAAGAATACGCCAATCGGATGCAAAACCTCAGTGAGAGGTGTGGTACTGGATGCAACTCTATTAATACTGGCCATAGACCTCTTATTTGCTTGTCTAGCGCTGCGGTCGATGTTGAGTTCTTCTTTTGAGTTGGCGTCATATTTGCTTGGCAATTATTTATTGAGAACACATAGAGCTAATTAACGTTAATTCAAATTTCATTGTTATTTTGTATTATGAATGTATAGATGTGTCTTATCATTGAAATTTTGGTAAAATATACGTGGTGTATCCTTTATAATCATTTCATCGAACTTTCAATATTCATTTCTCTAGAATGCGTAACGGAGTGTTTAAATAAATTGTACGATTGTTTACTTTGAGTAAAGTAAACAATTAGATAGTATACTTAGATTGAGTCTAGATAAGACTTTATCACCGATACTTTGATTGCTTATACCTAGTGATTTGTTAATTCTGCATCAATTTTATAATTTTTGCAGGGAAAAAAGAACATAGTTGTATTAACATGATATATTTGGTTGAACAAATGTTGGTAACCAGAATTTCTGGATATTATGACGAAATATTCTCTCTGGTATTCAACTGGAATATTTGAGTATTATATTAGTCATAGTTCCGGATGTTCCCGGATGTATCCGGCTGTGTCCTGATTGCAGTGGTTAGTTAAATCAGATGTCTGGTTATATTAACAAAATATTATTATTGCATTGCAACTAAAAATTTTAGTTACTTTCACTAAAAACACGTAGCCAAATTTTTTTTGGTTACCTAAATCAGAATGTATTTAATCAAATTAGACTGGTTATCTCTTAACCAGAAATCGTGTAACCAATTCTATTTAGTTACTTTAAACAAAATTTTGAATCGTTCATTTTCCACCAAACAGTCTAATTAATGTATCCATATTTCCGGTCAATTCAACCAATTTTTAAGTGTGGTTT